TGTTATCATGATTATGATTATGATTATTATATTATTAACATTATTATCATTATTATTCTTATTTTTGTTATTCGTCGTCTTCTTCTTCTTCTTTGTATTAGTATTATTATTATTACTGTTACTATTTTTACTATTCTTCTTTGACTAAAGACATCAAAGGACATCATCTTACAATACAGGCTCATTCTGTTTCCTCATTTCGTTCCTAGTTGGAAAAAAAAGATAATGGGTGCTGAGAGCATGGTTCTGATTGGAGGGCTCTCTTTGTAAAAAAAACACCCCTTTTTTTTAAAACTTCAAATTATGACTAACAGTATGGTTAGGGGCCCTCGTGGCCTATAGGTTAAAGTGTCGGCCTCTCATTCAAAGGTCCGGGGTTCGAATCAGGGTAGCGATGGAAATTTTTTTCTCTCTAAAATTGTCTCCTTTCACCTCCTTTCCTGCTCTCTAGCAATGTTCTGTTGTCTCCTTTCATTTCCACTTTCTGCCCCCACCCCATTACCTCCTTTGCCCCCTCCTCTGGGCTCCTGACTCTTTCTGCAGCCTTTCTACTGCTACTCCTTAGCTGCTTCTTACTGCTGTCTTTCAGCCGGACCCCTGATCTTCTGGTAGGAAAGATCTACGCCTAGCCTTCTTGGAAAAAGGCGAAAAATCTCGGAGGGCCCGTGTGCAAGTTGTGCTTGTTAAAGATCCCTTGGTGGTCATTAATCGATAAAAGTAGGCTTCGGCCGCCACCCGGGCAAATTTCAAAATTTCCAGTTGGTAGGACAGTCAGATTATGGGATGCAGATATCTTTTCGTTATGTACAAATTTCACTGTGCTTGTGTTGTAAATAGAAAGAAAATATATGTATAAGAACAAATTCAGCACCGGAAAATCTGTTCGTCATGTATTTTGCATATGTATGTGTTTGGATATATGTGTGTGTTTGAATGTGTGTGTATTTTTGGATATGTCTGTGTTTGGTTATACTTGTGTTTGTCTATGTGTGTGTTTGGATGTGTGTATGTTTGGATATGTGTGGTGTGTTTGGATATACTTGTGTTTGTCTATGTGTGTGTTTGGATGTGTGTGTGTGTTTATCTATGTGTGTGTTTGGATGTGTGTGTGTTTATCTATGTGTGTGTTTGGATGTGTGTATGTTTGGCTGTGTATGTGTTTAGATATACTTGTGTTTGTCTATGTGTGTGTTTGGATATGTGTGTGTGTTTATCTATGTGTGTGTTTGGATGTGTGTGTGTTTGTCTATGTGTGTGTTTGGATGTGTGTGTGTTTATCTATGTGTGTGTTTGGATGTGTGTGTGTTTATCTATGTGTGTATTTGGATATACTTGTGTTTGTTTATGTGTGTGTTTGGATGTGTGTGTGTTTGTCTATGTGTGTGTTTGGCTGTGTGCGTGTTTGGATGTGTGTGTGTTTGTCTATGTGTGTGTTTGGCTGTGTGTGTGTTTGGATCTGTGGTTGTGTTTGGATATGTGTGTGTGTGTGTGTTTGGATATATGTGTGTTTGGATATGTGTGTATTTGTCTACATGCATCTTTGCTATGTGTGTGTTTGGCTGTGTGTGTGTTTGGATGTGTGGTTGTGTTTGGATATGTGCATGTGTTTGTCTATGTGTGTGTTTGGATGTGTGTGTGTTTGGATGTGTGTGTGTTTGGATATGTGTGTATTTGTCTACATGCATCTTTGCTATGTGTGTGTTTGGCTGTGTGTGTGTTTGGATGTGTGGTTGTGTTTGGATATGTGCATGTGTTTGTCTATGTGTGTGTTTGGATGTGTGTGTGTTTGGATGTGTGTGTGTTTGGATATGTGTGTATTTGTCTACATGCATCTTTGCTATGTGTGTGTTTGGATATATGTGTGTTTGGATATGTGTGTATTTGTCTACATGCGTCTTTGCTATGTGCACGTTTGATTGTATCCCAAATAACTGGGTGTGTGGTTTCCATTTCAGTCGTTCCAGTCTTGGAAAGAGAAAAAGGACCATATGATAAAAAGAGAACTGCGCAAGAAGGAGCAGGCGGAGCAGAGGGCCAAGGAAGATGAGGAGTATGAGAAGAAAATGAAG